TGCTTCAATAAGTAGGAGGAGGGCATCAATGGAGCCAGACAGATGTAATGTCACTGGTTAACAATAGAGGTGTGAAGCAGCTGCCTTCATTATGAAGCTTATTAATGCATGGTGTTGAAAAAAACTTGGCAAGGGTTCTTTCAGAATACCTAGCCTTTTCAAAATAGCATCAGATCGTTTAAAATGTAAAATATATGTCTCCAATAAAGAATGCTGAAATAATTATTTTTTCAAGTAATTAATATCTGCTTTTAATATCTATGATTCTAGGTATAAATTTTAAAAGCAACTTCCATTCTTTATTTTTTAAAAACATATATGCTTAGAATTGAGTCAAGGAGAAAAAAGAAGGGTAGGCATAGGAGAAAAAATTCTAAYGTGTATCTATCTATATGACACAAAATACCTTCATTTTATTATAATTCAACCTCATTATCTGTATGTTAACACTTACCATGAAGGGTTGTTTGATGCTTATAAATAATGTATATAAAATTTCTGGAACATGATAGGTGCTCAATAAAAATTATTTTTTAATGGATGTTTTGGAAAGACAAGATTTAACTAAGTGGGTTACAACTGTAGAATGCAACTAATAAAGAGAAAGAAAAGAAACAGTCCCAGTATGATCTTTGGCCTTACACCTAGAATAGAATATTTTACTATCACTTAAAGATAATGGTATCAAAAAATGCAAGACAGAAAGAGTTTAACTTCAAGGAAAGAAAAGTGAAAACAGAAGCCCCAAAAGAGGTTTTACAAGAGAAAAAAACGTATTAGCGGAAGTCTATTCATTTTCAATGTTGGCTGGAATAAAGATTTTCATATAATAAAGTAACAATCAGCCAGAATTAGTACCCGAAAGTACAACAACTTGCCAAAAAAAAAAAAAAAAAAAAAAGAAAGAAAAGTTCATAATATTCTGGAGAATAAAAAAGATTCCTAAGTACCTAGAGGGCCAAGAGAATAAACCATGCAAAGACCAAGAAAGTCCAGTATGGATCTATGCCTTCTTTGGTCTTCAGAGAAATGAATCTCATAACATTGGGGCTAACACAATTTCCTTTTTGGTTCTTTAGCAGGTTTCAATAAATTTATTCCAACCCTTTTAAAATACATTTTTGGCCTATATTCATCAATTGAAATATAAGTTCCCTGAGAATCAGATAGAACCACCCATCAACTGTGAAAAAGTCACACTTTTTGTTATTTGTGTTCAAGACACAAAGAGGCCTCTATTCAAATGACTCATTATTTTAATTTTGGTTATACTGCCTCAAAGATTTTGTTGTTCAGACTAAAAGGGCTCTACTCACACGTCTTCTATCGTTCGAGTAGCTCACTTTGGGCCATTCAGATTTTCTTCTTGAGGTCTGTTTAATATGAGACTACCAGAAATATATATAGTAAATCTATTCTGTAAAGAGAAGATTAACATGAAGGACAGAATACTACACCTTGCTTTGTTTTTAGATATTCTTTTTAAATTATGAGCCACATTATACTGCAATTCTTAGAGCATCACAGTGAGCTGATGACTGGAGTCATCAGCAATGCACAAGTGCCTTCCATGGTTTATTACCATGACTCACAGTTTTTCTATGTATTAGTATATAGAAACACACACACATACACACACACATTTATATAGGAAGCTTGTCAATAATATTAACTGTTCTATACCCTAACCTCAGAAAGTGACTTACACAGTAAAGATATGAAATAATATTTTTTTATGAATCATTATACTGTTTGTGGGTAAGAGGGTGGCCAAGATATTTAATATGAAAAAATGGAAATAACATATAAAGAATAAATCAGCTTCAACATACTCTTAAGTAATTTCTTTAGAAAAATCGCTTTTTGCTAAGAACTTGATTATTAAATCCTTATATCTGCAAGAATTCAGTTTTATCTGTAAACTCAGACTCTACCTGTTGCTGTCACCTCTGACTGGTCAATAGCATGATATTAATATAATACCACTCTGGAAACTATTAGATTGATTCCACCCATCCTACTGATAGAGGAAAAAACATAGTATCAAAAAATGCAAGACAGAAAGAGTTTAACTTCAAGGAAAGAAAAGTGAAAACAGAAGCCTCAAAAGAGGTTTTATAAGAGAAAAAAATGTATTTGATGAGGTATGAATGGATCTATATGGAATTTTTACCAAACCTGTCTATGTACTTTCTGCTATGGAATGCTTAAAAATAGAAGCTTGCAGTGCCCAAAACACTGAAAGAAAGTATATGATAAGGTGACCTGGTTAAATCCTTTCTTTAATTTTTGAAAGAAAAGGTAGCATCTGATAAATACTATAAAGTTAAAATAATTATATCTCTACTTAAAAAGAAGTTGTGTGTTTAATATAGAAAAGACAAAAAATAAATGCTGAAAAGAATGCAGAGAAGGGAAACTCTTATACATTGTTGGTTATAATATAAATTAGCATAGCCATTATAGAAAAAACAGTAAGGATAGTCCTCAAAAAACTTAAAACAGAATTACCAAATGATCCAGCAATTCCACTACCATGTGTATACCTAAAGATGATGAAATCATTATACCAAGAAGATCTGTCCACTCTCATGTTTTCTGTAGTACTGTTCACAATAGCCAAAATATGAAATCAACCCAGATACCCTTCAGTGGATAAATGGATAAAGAAAATGTGGTACACAATGGCATACAATGGAATTGTATACCATGGAATACTATTCCACCATAAAAAGAATGAAATACTATTCCACCATAAAAAGAATGAAATCCTGCTATTTGTAGCAACATGGATGGAACTGGAGGTCATTATATTAAGTCATACAAGCCAGACACAGAAAAATACCATCAGTTTTTACTCATTTTAGGAAACTAATCAATCTTGAAATAGAACAAGTAGAAGAGGATTCAGTAGAGACTAGTTAGGGTAGTAAAGAGGCAGAATAGAAAGAAGTTAAATAAGGTGCATCAAAAATAGAGTGAAGGGGTTGGGTTGTGGCTCAGCGGCAGAGCACTTGCCTAGCACGCTTGAGGCACTGGGTTTGATTCTTAGCACCACATATCAATAAATAAAAAAAAGGTCCATCAACAACTAAAAATAAGAATTAAAAAAAAAATCTTAAAAAAACAGAGTGAAGGAATCACTTCTGTTTCTTCTTTAGCACAATAGGGTAGCAACTGGTTAAATTAATCTGTGACATATTTTAAAATAATGTAATAGTATAAAATGTGTTGAGACCTTAAGAAGTGGGACCTGGTGGGAGGTAATTAGATCATGGGGTACCAGTCTTGGTGGGGATTAATGCCTGTATTATAGAAGTGGGATAGTTTTCACAGGACCTGGTAAGTTATTTTAAGAAAAGGTGTCTATAATGTGTGGTCATTCCATGTGCTTGGTCTCTTCTACATATATCCCTCACAGGTCTTGCATATACTTCAAATATGTGCTGCATTTGCCATGTTAGTATGGAGTATGAGGTCCCCGCCAGATGTAGCTGCTGAAGCTTAAAAATTTTAGTCCCAAAATCATGAGACAAAATGGCCATTATGACCAAAATGGGTTGACTTGGGTATTTGTTATAGCAATACAAAATGAACTAAGACAATATGAAATAAAAATTATATTCTCAAATCTGAGAGAGTAACTTAAGATGTATACCCAAAATCATTAACAACATTCTAAATCCATTGTCATGGCAGTTTTCTAACAGTCTTCTCACCAGAGAAATCTGATTTTTATGAATCTTTGTCTAGGAGACGACACAATCTCATCCTTAGGGAATCTAAAAAAATTCACCACATTTTTAAATACTCTTCTCTCAGAAATAAACTTTTAATTTCTCAAAGACCAATGTTTTTGATAGCTGCATCATATATTTAAAATCATATATTCTTTTCTACACACAGTAAAAATCTAATTTATACAGCATCAATTCATCCATCTTTCCATCCATCAACTGATTCATTAATAAACATGTTCTGATTCATTATAATGTTCCAGGCCTTATGGTAGGCATAAAATCTATACAGAAGTTTCTTAGAGGGAAAGAATTGAGAAATTAAAAATCTGTGAGTGGGATATCAATGTTCATTGTGAATAACAAAGCAATAGGAGAGAAAGGAAAAAAAATTAATAAGCAAACTACCAAAGAATCAGTGAATTTAGATGAGAAACACCTTAAAAATGTTATACTCGAATGGGGTTAACTTTTTTTAAAAAAAGCACCAGTACACCTGAAGAATAAAATAATGAATACACACACACACACACACACACACACACACACACACATTTTGACTAATATGGCAACAAAGTTTAATGGCAAATTAACACACTTCAGTTCAACAAAGTAAAAAATAATAAATAGATAAATAAAGTGTATGCTATGTAGAAAGGCAGGTGAAGAAGAGTTGTAATAAAAATGTTAACTTCCATATTAAATCTATTGTTTAGCTTCTAAGCAAAAATGTAAAAATGGTCATAGGATAGTTTTCATATGAAACTTCTTCTTTTTTTTTGGTAAAGGAACTTGGTGGGGTTGGGTGTAGGGTTTAAACAGCTCTCTTGGCATTAATTCTAAGAAGACTTAAATCATGCAGATCTTTAAGTAAAGAAACTTCAATAACATCATAGTTAAGTATTCAACAGCAACTATCCAAAAGAAGCAATAGGAAAAGTTTTGAATTCAAAGAAGCTACAATGTCAAAGGCCTGCTCAGGAAAGTCCAGCTTCTACCTTTAATTCTGGCTTAAATATTAATAATGCCCTTCCACTGATAGAAGGATCCAAGTTTGAATAATAAATTAATTATGGAATCACCTTTATTTATGGGGAAATTGKTCTAAACAGGAAACTTTGTAGTAGCCTTGTTTGACAGAAGGAAGGATTTCATGAACATTTTCTGTCAAATTTCAAGAACTGGATGGCAAAAACTCAGGACAAATTAAAAGAAGAAAGTCTGAAATATATAGAAACAATACAATAATATCATGAAACTCACACTCAGAATTGACAGCAATTCTTCAATAGTGCATTCGGGTTTCAAACGGTCCTTGAACATTTTAACGGTTTGGTGCTTCAAATAGTAATAGGAGGCAATTCGGCCGTACGTGAGAGGCTCAATGCTCCGATTATCCTGTTCCAAAGGATAAAAATGACATTAGTAAAAAGTACAATGGAATTACATATCTTCATAAAACTAATAATTCATACTGCAGGTTGCTAATGCAAAAGTTTTGGTACAAATTTGGTAGTATTAGAACAAAAAACCCTGTTTTTGAAAAGCTAGGCAATTAGAATATATATATATATATATATATATATAACCAAGTCTTACCTCTCCAATTTCAATACAGTAGGAAAGTTCCAACTCAACCAGGGACTTTTCAATCAGATGGGACAGAAACTTGTTTACAGAATCATGGCTCACATCACCTAAATTGTAGTAGCTAGAAAACAAGCAAGGTTATTATTAGTATCAAGGTATTTTCTACCAAAAATATCACCTTAGTTTTATGATCTCTTCAGAATTTCAAAAACACAAATTACATTTACAGTAAATCAGAGAAATAAAGCAACTGTAATTATCATTCCTGATTTACAAATCAAAGGTCTCATGTGAAGCTTTGTTGACAATGATGAAAATGATAATACATTAAAAATATATAAGATGAGGATATAAAATCCTGCATCACATTTAAAGAGAAACTGTTTCCCATGTTATAACTAGTATTGTGTCAGTTTAATCATGTACACCAAATTATGCCCTGAATTTAGAAAGCTGGAAACATGAAATATATGTAAATGCATTTATGTATGTAAATATATAAATCTTGTTCCCTTTTACTATATGAACTAATCTCAAAAATTTAACAAAATAGAATAGTGATATGGGTGATAGTTCTTCTAGGTAATATAGTCAGTTATTGTTCTTCTAGTGCATAAGGAACAACTGTCATCCTAACAACTAGAAGGGACATCATCAAGCTAAAAATAAAACTTTTTAAGTTGTAACATATAGAAAATACATATACACAGCTTTGTATATTTTCCAAATAAAAATCCTAAGGACATACAATTCATCTGAATACTCTTCCCTACAACTCAGAGAGAGGTTCTTGACAAATCACTAAGAATCTGGGCCTGGGAAATGATCCAAAAGGTGAAGGACCCATTGTCATGGCAGTTTTCTAATTCTTACTGGATGAACTCTGTACCCTAGTAGGCATGAAGAATTTATATACCCTACCTCCCCTGCCCTCATGTAAATAGAGGAGCAGAAGCAGAAAGTGGTCTTAGAACCTTAGATCAGGTTCCAATCATTAAAACCCATGATGGCAGTTTTACATCTGTATAGGACCAGAAAGTGAAAAAGGGTGCTAAGCAATCTCATATGGTAGAAGCCTAAAAGAAAACACACCTGAGGTATAGAAAATCTGAGCAGATGACTCTTTTGGGGATTTTGTTTTCCTTTCTCCAAAGCAAAAGACTTAAAGACAGTACAGGATGAAAATTACATTGAAGTAGGTCTGAAATCATGTCAGGATATATTTCCATTACAAAGAGAAGTTAGTTCAAATGCTAAGTATTCTAAATTCAAGAATCTTCACTGAATAAAGATAAATAAGATAATAGAATTTACTTGGTAAAACAACTTTTCAGAAAAAAGGAGTAGTAACTTTTAGTCTGTGGAAAAATTATTGCTTTTCCTAAACAAATCCTCTTGTCATGAACTGAAATAAAGCAGTGTTTATCAATGAAGTACTAAACTCATTAATCTAAACAAAATGTTTAAATTATGCCCAACTAGGTATATATCAAAGTGAAACACAAACACCAGCATTAGAAAAAAGGTAGAAAATATTTCCTTTGCCCTGGAAAATCACTAAGCTGAAGTATTTAGTTTTCTGCTTCAGAGGTAAAAATAAAAATTTTGGATCTTTATAATAGCCTCATAAAAGAGACAGATTTTCAAAGTCATTCTAAATTATCAAAGATATTTTTTCTCTTTCTTTTTTTTTTCCCCCAGGAAGTGAACTTTACAGTCAAACTTTCTGCAATATAAGTGTTGACTTCATACATCACATTCTTTTGGCTCACTGAGCCTATAAATTTTCCAATACTATTTGTAGCTGTCTAGACTAATACATAGTTGATAAAGGTATTCTAAATTGAAAACACTAGTAAAAATTTGCCCAAGATAATGYATAAGTAGTACCACTTGTAGCATAAGAATCTAATTCTTCATGCAGTTWAAATTATAAAAAATAATATTATCAAAAAATAAAATTTCATTTTGTTAATAAATTTATTAAGTTATTTGAAAAAAAACTCATGGATGATGCTGATTATTGTAATCTACCACAGATATAACTGGAATGCCAACTTTGCCATTTTATGCGTGAATAAATAAACTTGGTATGCTTACTAATAATAGTTAAACCAACTAATAATAAAAAGTTTCCTTAAAAATTACAGTTTTTTAAATATTTATTTAATTCACTATGTTTTATTTAATGCTATTTTATTCATTGTACTTACAAAATGCATTTGGATGGGTTAATATTCTAAAGTTTGTTTAAGTCTATTAGGAAACTTTTTTCTGTGTTTTTTTTTTTTAAATGATCAATAATAGCTTTCACCTAGATAATACAGTTAGTATAAACATTTAAACATAATTTGGCAAAACAAAGAAAAGCCAACTAAAATTATGTCTCTCTATAACATACTATCTGATGATCTTATTAAAATATTACTAATAATCTAGCTTATTAAAATTTGATAGTTATTTGAATAGAAAAGCATAAAAATCATTGATATTCATTTTAAAATTTTATTCCCAAATTTGCTCACCAAAATCCTAGTGAATTTACAAGAAGCGGTGCAAAATTCAATTCAGGTAACTGAACTTCACTGATCTTTTCCAAATATTCTTTGCTAGCATTTGAAATGAAGGCTAAGGTCACTTAAAATTTTTAAATCCTTTAAAATTAAAATGTTACATCTTAATTAGCTATATAATTTGCAATCATAGTAAAATAATAAAACTAAATTTAAATTAAATTACTTTTTAAGATACACAGATTTTTGAGAGTTCATATATTCGACACTTTAGAGTTCATATACTCGGACACTTTTGTGTGAGTAAAGAATGGAGTTTAGATTTATATGATCTGTATTTACAGCGCAATATGGCCTTTACTTCTGTTGAATGAACTTTTCAGCTATTATACAATTTCTAGCCTGAACAAGTATAAGCATTTATCTTAAAATATTACTTATCATTCATTTCAATAATCCCTTTACCAACTTGAAAAAGCATACAACAGCTAAGTAAAAAGGTCTGTTTTCATGTTGTATTCTCCACAGTATAAAATTTATAATTTACAGGTTGTTTAAACAGAAAATTTATGCAACTGTTTAATTACAGATAAAGGATACAATGTAGTTTCATGCCCAGTGCTTTGAATCATCAAGTCATTATCTTCCCTTTGCTATAAACAGACAGCCTACCTTTTTGTCAGCATGCTATTTCATTTATTTCACAGAGAAACCCAGTTTCACAATAATTGACTTGTCAGAAGCTCTAATTTATGAGACTGAGCTCTGTAAGATTTCTCTATATTGGACTCAACCTGCACACAAGCAGGGTTGAATATTTACAATGCTGTTAACAGGTGCTGAGTTGTTTAATGATTCTAATAGCCAGAAGCGTACTGAGAAAGCCAGCGGGATCACAATTACAGGCTGTTTGAACACAACAATTACTAGTCCCCTGAGAGGTGTGAAAGTCAAAGGCAGTTTGATACTGACAGCATCTAGCACATGGGCTAGACAGGCTAACTTCTATTAGCAGTCCATTGGGACAAAGTCATAACAAACCTCTCCCTGTCATAAAAATTTTAAAAGTTCATAAAATTTAAACAATCGAAAACTAGAACAACTTTTCAAAAATTATCTTTACAAGATATTATTAAAGGACAAACAAGAACACCAGACATGAAATCTCAAAGTTATCTTTTTTCAACCTTAATACAGATGAAATTTCATCAATTGGGAATGAAAGAGATTTTATAGTAATGTAAAACATAGCAAAAGTTACACCAAACAGTTTGGATTTAATGTGAATAGTGGCAGTCATTTCCTGTTTGGTTTATGTAAACCTGGCCAGATATCTCGCTGGGAAATTTTTCATCAGTATTGAAATGCTGCTGCTATAACTGTCAGTACTGAGAAGTCATTTGTTACAGCACCATGTTTTTTTATGTTCAGATTATGCAGCAGTAATAATGACACAAATAATGAAAGTGGTTGCAGGGACAGCTGAAACTATCACAAAATTTTGCCCTAGAAATATTTAAAAGCTTTCTCAGGGGAAAAACGAAGACTAAAACTGAAAATACAAATTGAATCCAGAACTCAACTTGGAATATATTATACTTTATGAAAGCAGCACATCTGTTTATATACATTTGAACAAGCAAATGTATATATGTATGTGTGTGCACACATATTTATGCAAAATTTATATATCCTTATATGTACATAGGTATGTATTTGCACACACTACACACACACACACACATATATATAAAATACACACATGCATAGGAATATAAACAGAAATCGTGAGCAGCTGAGGAACAATGRGCAAAATCTTCACTAATAGAAGTTTTACTTTGGATGTGGTGTGACGGGGACTTTACAGTACAACTGACAGGGGCTGGAACATCAGGTCATCTTTATTTATCTTTGTGTGACCATATTTTGAAAACAGCATTCCTTTTCAATGGTTAAATAAACTTGTCTGTTACACATATGCAGGCAGATGAGCTTGCATATATTCTCTTCCCACCCAAGAAAGGTCAAATCTCAATTTATGTCACTGGATGATAGGGAGTATTAAGGAAAAATTAAAACTACACAGAATACAAGTCTTTCATTTGAGACACTGATGTTAGCCTTTGTAATACTTTAAGTAGATCTGAAAAATAAGTAAAATAAAATTTACCAGTTTTCTCAACTCCTGGGCCTTTGTTTGATTGCAGCTTTGTGGAAAGAAGATTTTAACATACACAGTAATGAAAAAATATAATTAAGAGGCAGCCATGAGGATGTGAAGTGAACCTTTGTGCAATACTGGTAGGAATTTAAATTACTAAAGACATTTTGAAAAACAGTATGTAGGATCCTAACAAAACTAAACATAGATTTACTATTATGATCCAACAATCCTACTACTGGTTATATACCCAAAGAAACTGAAACCAGTATATGGAACTCCCCATATTCACTGTAGCAGTGCTTATAATAGCAAAATTATGGAAACAATCTAAATGTTCATTGACACATAAATGGATTTAAAAAATGTGGTATATATACAATGTAATATATTCAGCCATAAGAAAGAACAAAATACTTGCTTTTGCAACAGCATGAAATGAATATAGAGGATGTTACGCTAATAAAAATAAGTCAGGGACTGAGACAAATATTGCATAACCTCATTTATATGCAGAAAACATTTATAATGTATGCATGTATTGAAATATCTCACATTTATCCCATAAATATAGATATTATTTGTCAATTAAAATGGAGAAAAAGAAAATTTAGAATTCCACATACAAAAGTTTATAGCAATTTTTAAAAAAGTAAATTAGAAAGAAAGTAGCAAAATTTGATTACAGCTTATTAGGTAAAATATGTAAATTGTTAAACTTATTTTAGGCACAGTTTTCCATTTTTATCTCCATGTGAAGGTATACACATTAAAACTGACCATTTATGGTTTGGGAGATAGCATCAAATGAACATGATTGTCATATACTGAAAATTAGTATCATATGGTTTAAATCAAGAAACTTTTCAGCATAGCAGTGGAAGAGAAGTGGATAGGGAGTGAATGCTTGAGCTCTGGACCTGATAATGAGCCCAGTGACAGCAAATGTGATGGAATGCCAGTATTGCTTCTGCTATTCATGAGCTGTGTTATTGTGAGAAAGTTGCTTACTTTTCAGTTACTTCAGTTCCTTCATATATAGAAGGGAGATCATACAGTACTAAATGAGTTAAAGCTCTTGAAATAACATCTCAAATACAGTAGACACTCAATAATAATTGCTAGTGAGAATTATTGTTTCCTGATTAATTTCATTTTATGTTTATAAATTCCTGTATTTATGCTCTGCTATTGTTGTTCACATAGTTTCTTTTGAGATGAACGCTTAGTTATTTTATTTTTTAGGTCTTTAAAGGTCTAAATATTCCTTGGAACTGTGCTTTTGTTTGAATCCAGAAGCTTTGTTTGCTACGTAACACTTATTATTTTTTTTAATAGCTCTAGTCTTTTATTTGATTTTACCTTTCACTGGAATAAATATTTTAAAATCTCAAACAGTTAGAATTTGTTTATCATTCTTTTTATTGTCTATTTCTGGTTTTACAGATTGAACAATCCTAATCTGCAATGCTTCAAAATATAAAATATTTTGACCAATGATACAAAGTCACAAGAGGAAAATTCCACACCTCACCTTATGTGATAAGGTAACAGTCAAAATGCAGGCATACTAAACATACTGAATAACCTTACCTTCAGCATAAAGTCTATAAGACACATAAATGAATTTGTATTTAGACTCGAATCACATTCCCAAGATATCTCATTTATGTATATGTAAATAGATATTCTGAAACCTCCAAAAATCTGAAATCCAAATATTTCTGTTCCCAAGCATTTAGCATAGGGGATATTCAATTTTGTTACATTTTGTACTGAGAATGCATTGATCTCTAAACTTTGAAATAAGTTGAGATGCTTTGTGTGGTCTTTCTTTTTATAGTAAATTTTTATAAAAAAAATTTACATGAGTACTGCATATTCTTTTTTAGGGGTATCTCAAAATATGCATAGTCAGCTACTAAAGGGAACCAACATATATGATATGGATGATCAAGAGTAGATAAACTTTCACCTCTTGGAAATCAATTAAAGCTGCATTTATCAATGTATGACTGGACTTTTAAGACTGCCAGGGCTAGATGGGTTAGATACTGCAGGCAGGAAGAAGAGTGATCACAAGAGCACCAGTGAGAGGAACCTCTTACTTAGAAGTATGTGAGTTAATGTCTCCCTCAATTGATTCTAGCCCTTTGGTGGCGGTGGTAGGACATCTGATCCTCCTATGGGCAGTAGGAGGACAGGAAAAGCAGCTGCCACATGTACTAAGTACTCTAAGCAAAGTCAATACTAAATGAAGATATAACATATTGTCAATACCAAATTTCCTTAGATGTCTATCAGATATCAAGTAGGGGAAGCAATGTGAGCCAAGGAATATTTGTTTATTTACATGGACTACACTGATTACAAACATGAGTAAGCAGGAGACATACAAATGCCAAAACTCAAGAAATTCCCTGGAACAGAGGCTTAGTATAATTTCCTCTCAAAATTTCATCCTTTGTCTATTGTGATAAGTCTCTTCCCTGAGCTTGTTGTTCTGCTCTTAATTACTACTGTTTATTACCCAAAGTATTATTACATAGAAGACAGTTTCTAACTAGAGCAACAGGAGTGATGCCTACTCCAGTTCCTTCTCTGTGGGACTCCTACTCTGAATGGTGTTTCCAACTGTGCTCTTGACTCATTTCACTCTCATGGTTGAAAAAAATGTAAACACTGGGCAATTTCCTTCTTATTATCTAATTTTAAAGAAAACTAACCTCATCTGGCTTCCAACTCTTGTATAATTCATTTAATTTCTGATCAATACTATTTAATGGTTTACAAATGAGACTAGATTAGGGATAGACTAAAAGCAGGTTAAGCAGTTGGAGAGCTGCAAGGGAGAGTGAAAATTAAAATGCAAGTCTGGAGTGTGAAGTTAGGGCAAACAGATACAGTGATAATATTATCAAAAGTAATAAAGTTGGATTAGTGGAGGATTTTGATGATTTTTATCATTAAGTCAGTTTTATACATGGTACATTTGAAATGACGGTGGGAAGTCCATATGGCAGTAGTCAAAAGGATGGTGAAAAAAATAAAACTGTAACTTCATCAAAAGCAAAGTGGAGCATCATATCTTAGGGTCTCTCTACTGAAGGCCTTGTAATGTTTTTTTTAATTTTCATTTAATTTTAATTTTTTTAATTTTTACTTCAGCATATCCCTCAAATTCCACCCTTACTTCACTGCCTCTGCATGTTAAAGTTCTCATCTTATCATTAAATAACTTCCTAACTGGTATATTTTCTCCCCATTCCATTGGATTCCCTATTATAGTATCACAGTATTGAAATGAAAACTAAATTTGGTGACATCAATCCATGTTTAAGAACTTCCAATGGGTCATTCCATTAGGATTCCAAAAGGATCAGATATATACAGTCAACAGATCCTTTACCCTCTGGTCTTCGCACACTTTCTTGTCAAGACAATCTCCATATTCCTTAAGGTACATCAATCTTTTTCATATTTTCTAAACACTTGACTCAGTCCCTGAGACTTTTTACTCATACAGTATTTTTCTGTCTGAATCCTTTCTACCTATTACTACTCCTGTTCCATACATGTGTTTTTTCATACTATACCATCAGTACTTGAAGATAGGGGATGTTGTACTTACCTTTACATCTAAGCATTTAGCATGATATTAGATAATAGCAGGGGCTAAATGAAGATATAACATACTGTCAAGAATAAAAATTATCTACCACTCCCCAATTTAAATTTTTAAAAACATTTTTAGTTGTAGATGAACACCATACCTTTATTTTGTTTAGTTGTTTTATGTGGGTSCTGGGGATCGAACCCAATGCCTCACACATGCAAGGCAAGTGCTCTATCACTGAGCCACAACCCCAGCCCTAATTTTTTCACTATCATAGTTTCACACATTTCCAAAGGGCTTCAGATGTATTGAATCCCAACTAAACAGCAAACTCTTCAAAATATCTTTAAGATAATTAAAATAAGTGAAGTTATCAAAAACACATAACCAATTGATTTTTGATATAATACAATGCGATTACATCAGAATTTTTGGACAAATCTGACTTTTTTGGACAAATCCATAGACCTACAAAGTCCAAAGTTCTAACTTTTTTTGTATGTATTCAATTTTAGAGTTTATTAATTTCAAATACATCTTGTTCCAGTGTAAAACAAAAAGATAATTTCTTTTCAAAAAAGCCCTGCACTTACCTGGGGTTCATGATAAGACGTCGGAAAAAGTAAGTCCAGGTGATATAGTCCATTGCATCTTGCTTAGATGTTATTGTACCACCAGCGATCTCTGCATTTAAGTGGTCAGATAGCACTCCTAATAAGCTGCATAGTGGATAAGGCATGGAAAATAAGTATGACCATTAAACAAAGTACACTTAATTTATCTCAAATAGTATAGATTCAGATTTTACATTCTAAGATACAAACGTGTTTTGTGTAATTTATATATTTTGTGTATAATTTGTGAGTAATTCTTTCCAAATTATTTTGTGGAGATTTGGGGGATATTTACAATGTCCTTTCACCACAAAAATCACTTAGTATTATGAACTTAAGAACTTGTATTATTGGGCTGGGGATGTGGCTCAAGCGGTAGCGCGCTCGCCTGCAATGCGTGCGGCCCGGGTTTGATCCTCAGCACCACATACCAACAAAGATGTTGTGTCCGCCGAGAACTAAAAAATAAATACTAAAAAAAAAAAATTCTCTCTCTCTCCTCTCTCACTCTCTCTTTAAAAAAAAAAAAGAACTTGTATTATTAACTAGTACATAAAAATTTATGCTTGTTTTCTTTTCAAAAAGTATGTTATTTTTTATTTGAATGTGAATAAGAAGTGGGCCAGAGACAGAGTCTCACAAAAATACTACAATAATATGATATTTTCCTAGAATAAAATAAGTAATAATAACTTGTTGAAAGCCATTACTAGTAGTCATATTGTAGGTATGCAATAGGAGGCACTTACTGCTACAAGTCATTCTAGGGAAATAAATTACTAGATGGAAAATAAACATAGGCTGACAGGAAGTAAACTAGTAACTTTCAGAAGAAGAGTCAAGAGAGAGGGTAAGACCAGACAATGGGAAAAGCATACTTATAAAGTACTCGAGAGGGTATGGAATAAATACTGGGACAGATTAAAGGAGCGTTGGCAAGAAAGGGATGATAGGAGAGAGGCGTGAGCAAAGATTTTTTAAAAATTTATTTGGTGAACATTAAGTGCTTGTATATATAAGAAGACATTATTATATTAGGTATTGTGGAATATATGAAGATTTTCAGATGTGGTGAAACACTTGCAAAAAAGTTCATTTTATTTTGTATATACAACACACAAAAGGATAAGAATGGTGCTACACCCACATAATCTCAGTGACTCAGGAGACTGAGGTAGGAGGATCACAGTTTGAGATCAGCCTGGGCAACATAGCAAAACCTTGTCTGAAAACTTAAAAAAAAAAAAAAAAAAGGATGGGAATGTAAGTCAGTGGTATATACCCCAGTTTCAATGCATTGTACCACACACACACACACACACACACATGTACACACACATACTAAAAAAAAAAAAAAAAAAACAACAACACCACTACCAAACAACAACAACAACAAAAACCAAATAAAAGTAAGCAATGCCTAAGAAAATAAAACACTAAATAAATTATGATTCATGGGATAATAAAAATAACTTTGGCAATGAAATGAGAAAATGATCAGAAAAAAATGAATGGAAAAAATCACTAATTAATATACATTAATAAAAAAAGTGGCCATTATTCTCAATTCACCAGTAGTTGAATAGAGATAGGTACAGTTATTTTGGAGAGCAACTTGGCAATATATACTGGAATAATCACTATGATCCAGCCAATTCCACTTTTTCATGAAGACCCGATAAAGAAAAATTAACCTGTGAGGTCAGAAAAGTAAAATGATTTATTCCAACATTACACACAAGAGAAAAAAGTTGGAAACTTTCTAAATACACATTAATAGAGAAATGAATAAATAAAATATGGAATATTCTACAATGGATAAAATATTAATGGCCATATCAAGGTATGAAATTAAAAAATGTAGTTAGATTTATAGTGAAGTATACACAGAGAAACTACACAAATTATATGTCTTTAAATCAATTAATTCTCACAATGTGAACATGTATAACCAACACCAAGATCAAGCATTGGTAGTGCCCCAGAAAACCCTCCTGATATGTATGCTTTTACTACCTTGCTCAAAGGGATATTCTAACTTTTGTTTTTCTTATCCTATTATAGTGGCATGTGACTCTAACACAATGTTTACCAAAAAGTGATATAAGCAACTTCCTTTTTTGGGGGGGATGGGGACACCAAGGATTGAACTCAAGAGCATTCGACCACTGAGCCACATGCCCAGCCCTATTTTGTATTTTTTAATTCAGAGACAAGGTCTCACTGAGTTGCTTAGTGCCTTACTTTTTGCTGAGACTGGCTTTGAACTCGCAATCCTCCTCTCTCAGCCTCCAGAGCCAGTGGAATTACAGGCGTGCGACCTGTACCTGGCTACAACACTCCTCTTTATCATTCCCTATTTCAAAGGGAAAACTTAAAAAAAACTGTTTTTATTAGTGCATTAAACAAAATTGTTTGGTTCATTTTGACATAATCATACATGCATGGAATTTAACTTGTTTCACTTTTGCTCCAGTGCTTCCTCTTTTCCTCCCCTCTTCCTTTCCCTATTTTCCTTCCTCTACTATATTGGTCTTCCTTCTGTTTATTTATTGTTTTAATTTGTGCCTTATAGATAAACATAAAGGTGAAATTCCCTGTGCTATATTCATATATGTACACAGCATAATTTGGTCAATTTCATCCTGCAGTTCCTTCCATTTCCTGTCCCTCATCCTACTGCTTAATCCCATTTTTCTATTTACACTGATCTCTCCTCTATTTTCATGGAGTTTCCACCCTTCCCCCTTTTCCCTTATTTTAGTCTAGTTTCTACATATGAGAGAAAACATTTGACCCTTGACTTTCTGAGTCTGGTCTATTTCACTTAGCATGTTCTTCAATTCCATCCATTTACTAGCAAATGTCATAATTTCATTCTTCTTCATGACTGAGTAAAACTCTATTATGTACAAATACCACATTTTCTTTATCTATTCATCTGCTGATGGGCACCTGGGTTGGTTCTGTAACTAGGTTATTGTGAATTGTGCTGCTATAAACATGGATGCGACTGTGTCAGTACAGTGTATTGATTTTAGTTCGTTTGGATAAATATTGAGGAGTGGGATAGCTGGGGCATATGGTGGTTCTATTTCTATTCTTTGGAGGAATCTCCATACTGTTTTCCAAAGTGGTTGATCTAATTTGCAAACCTATCATAATGTATGAGTGTACCCCCCACACACATCCTAGCAAGCATTTATTATTATTTATATTTATTATTATTCATATTTTTATTCTTGATGATTGCCATTCTAACTGGAATAAGATGGAATTTCAATGTAGTTTTGATTTGCATTTCCCTAATTGTCAGGGATGTTGATCATTTTTTTTCATATATTTGTTGGCCATTTGTATTTTTGCTTTTGAGAAAAGTCTGTTTAGTTTTTTTTCCCAATTCATTAATTGGTTTACTTATTTATTTTTTGGTGTTAATATTTTTGAGTTATTTATATATTCTGGATATTAATCCTTCATCAGAGGAATAGCTGGCAAAGGTTTTCTCCCATTCTGTAGGCACCTTTCTTCATACTCTCAAACAATTTCCTTTGCTATACAAAAGCTTTTTAATTCGATGCTGTCCCACTTAATGATTCATTTTATTTCTTGAGCTTAAGGAGTCTTTGTTAAGGAAGTTGGTGCCTATGCCAATGTTGACATGTTGACCTATCGTTTTCTTCTAGCACTTGCAAAGTTTCTTGTCTAATTCCTAAGTCTTGGATTTACTTCGGGTTGACTTTTGTGCAGTGTAAGAGATAGGGATCTAATATCATTCTTCTACATAGGGATACACAATTTTCTCAAAAGGGAAAACTTTTGATTTCTTCATTAATTATTATGCTTACAGTGGATTTTTTGTAGATACTCCATAAGATTAAGGAGATTCATTTATATGCCTGCTTGCAATGGTTTTTTTTTTTATTATGAATCGGTGTGGAATTTTGTCAAATGCTTTTTTTTTWAAACATTGATGAGATAATCATGAGATTTTTCTCATTTTTTTCTGGTAATGTTAATTATATTCATCTATTTTCAGATAACAAATAATCTTCATATTTAAGAAACAAACCGTATTTGGCTGTAATGTCTTTTTATATATTGCTGGTTTTGATTTACTTTTTTTTTTGGAGATACAAAAGTGTATCATGACATTTTAAACATAATTTTGATGCATTTATATGTTTTTTAAATTTTTTTATTTATTCTAATTCATTATATATGATGTCAGAATGCATTTCAATTCATAGAACACACATAGAGCACAATTTTTCATGTTTCTGGTTGTACATGAAGTAGAGTCACACCATTCGTGTCTTCATACATCTTAGGGTGATTTACTAAAATTTTGTTTGGGATTTCTACATCTGTATTCATGAGAGATACAGTTTGTTACATTCCTATTTTATAAATTTCTTATTAGGTTTTGTCATTCAAGCTATTCTGGTCTGATAAAAAAAAGCTGGCAAATATGCCTATGTTTTCTAGGAGGAAGAGTTTCATTTAAACCTGATGCTATTTCTTCCTTAAATGCTATGAACAATTTACTTAAGCATCTGGGTCAGAAGATTTCTTTGTAAAAAGATCATAAATTTAAGACTCAATTGCTTTGATAGGTAATTTGAGATTTTATTATTGGGTCAGTTTTAATAAATGATTAAAGAGAAATTTTACCATTTGATCTAAAATTTACAAATTATTTATATAAAGTGGTTTATATTATCTTATTACCTTTTAATATCTATAGTATCATTTCATTCCTAATATTGAGATTCAATTATCAGTCATCTTTTGCAAAGAACAAATTTCTGTCACTTTTTACTTTTCTCTGATCCACGTTTATTGTCAATCTATTAATTCTTGCTCTTATTTACTTATTTTATACTAGGGATTGAACCTAGAGGTCTAGAGGTGCTTAACAACTGAGCCATATTCCCCATCTCTTTAATTTTTTTTTTTTTTTTAAAGTTTAGAGACAGGAGCTTGCTATGTTGCTGAGTCTGGCTTTAAACATGTGATTTTCTTTCCTCACTCTTGAGCCACTAGGATTATAGGCATGAGCCACCACACTGGGCTCTTGTCTTTATGTTGTCTTGCTTTGAGTTCAATTTGCTGATGTTCAAATTCTTGAGACAGAATCTTGATAACTAATTTTTCATTTTGTCTTTTTTAACATATAAATTTTTTGTCATAATTTTTCTCTTAGCATAGTTTTAGCTGTATTCCACAGCATTTAATGCTTATTTTTCAAATTAAAAAAACAAACATTATTTGCATTTAGGATTATTTGCATTTAGGATTAAAAAACTCAACAACAACATACAATATAAATGAAAAACATGTTTGTCCTCAATGCAGTTAGACTAAAGTAAAGGAGAGTATATAGAAAAGCACTATGATAAAAGGTAGAATGTGAAAAGTGTTGTATATGAGAAAATATAAATCTGAGGAAGAAAGGGTTATTTTCAACCATGAAAATAAGGGAAGATTTTGCAGCAGGAGTAGTAGTTATTGGGCCCATAAAGAAGCATGGGATAATTCTGAAATAAATTAGCAACCTAAATTATTAATTACATATCCCTTATTTTAGATATTAACTCTATTATTATGGTTATAATTTTCATTTACAGATAGGCAGCCCATGGCACTGAGAAATTAAATAACTTGCTCAATATTGAGCAAATAGTTGGCAGAGCTCAGATTTCAATCCAGGTAATCTGACTCCAGAGCCAATTTGGCTGCACACAGTACTGTATTTTTTCTCTTAAAATGTTATTTATTTATTTTTAAGATTTCTTTTCTTTTCTTTTTGGTGGTGCTGGGGATTGAACCTAGAGCCCTGTGAATGTTAGGCAAGCACTCTACCAACTGAGCCATTCCCCAGCTCCTTAAAATGTTATTTTTTAAAAATAAAAATTATCATTAAGTATTATTGGGATAATTACAATGTTTCACAGTAATTCTTTTATACTACAAGTTTTACTCATTTTTAAGTAGTAAAATGTAACCAGAAAACCACTAAAACTTGCTACAAAATAAATCCCATTTAAATTAATTTAAAGCAAAATTTACCTTGATTCTACCGGGAAAGGTTCATACAGAAATTTTTTGTAAAAGTCTTTTTTAATATCATGAACCAGAATTACAGCTTTGCCTTGGTCGTCAAACTGAGGGCGCCCAGCCCTTCCCATCATCTGGAGCACATCTGTAAAACAAGAGATATTCTACAAAGTGGCACATGGTAGAAGGTATGAATTAATGATGAGGGCATGCTTCTACAACAAAATAACAAAGGAAACAATATTTTAAGAGCACATATTCTATTTGTGATGGCTATTATTAAGTTTGCTAAGTTAATATAATTTACTCAGAAAAGTTAGGACAAATTAGAAAGTTACTATGTTGTAATATTGAGTTCCCCAAAAGGTATTTGGCACTATTAAAAGATGATAGTCTCCTTTAGTTAAGTGATTAAAGACGTTGGGTAAGAAATGTTACTATTGGGCTGGGGATGTGGCTTAAGCGGTAGCGCGCTCGCCTGGTATGCGTGCGGCCCGGGTTCGATCCTCAGCACCACATACCAACAAAGATGTTGTGTCTGCCGAGAACTAAAAAATAAATATTAAAAAAAAAATTCTCTCTCTCTCTCTCCTCTCTCACTCTCTCTTAAAAAAAAAAAAGAAAGAAATGTTACTATTTTAATTAAACAGAAAATCATAAAACTTATATAGAAAAATCTCTTCAGTGAAGCCCTTTTTTATTATTTTCCACAATGAATAATGTATTTATTTAGGTCTTGTCATTTTCCTGTCCATGGGATAAAAATTCTTTTATACTGCAGGAATCTGACATAAACAATGGCTTAAAAATGATAGAGTTTTACATGTATTCATTGAGTAGAAATGTATATTGAATATATATCCCTCTTAAAAATCAACTGAAAATGACTTTATTAAAATTTAAAATATCTTCATAGACTGCTCATGCATTCATTATAGCAATAAGTGCTTTGGTTCTGGAAGTCCCATGGAAGTTATCATTTCTGGTAAAATGCATTTAAAATTAAACACTAAATGCTTAATCAAAAAATTTTTTATCACTAATAATTTCTCATCGTACTTTATGAATTTGGAAGCATCAGTTATATTTTTAGTGCTTACTAACAAATTGGGTAAGTTAAAGTAAATAAAACAGCTCAGTGTTTTGCATTCTATTATTATTACAAATTTGCTTACTGTATGTTTAAATGTGACCAATTCTCAATAAAATCAATTAATAATCCCAGCTATTTGAGAAGTTGAGGCAAGAGGGTCACAAGTTTGAGGCCATGATGGGCAACTGAGTGATATCCTGTTGTAAAATAAAACAAAAAGGAATGGGGTATTTCTCAGTGATAAAGCACTTGTCTAGCATGCTTGAGTCCATTTAAATTGTGAAGGCTAAAACAGGAGGTACAAATATTAACTCATGAAAATTTAAGTTGTTAAGGCTAAACAGGAAACTTAATGTATCTCTGTAAATTAAAAAAAATTACCTGTAATGGGAAAATCTACATAACGTCTTGTTTTTCCATCATAATATTCTGTTCCTTTAATAATTACTAAATGAGCTGGAAAGTTTACACCCCAGGCTAACGTGCTTGTAGCAATAAGAACCTAAAAATAAAAGATGATATTATATCTAAGTAACATATAACTTTTAGGTTACTTTTAAATATGTACTCATTGGAGAAAAAAAGTACCTGAACTTTACAGTTCACAAATAATTCCTCTACTGTTTTTCGGTCCCTTTCATGGAGGCCAGCATGATGCATTCCTATTCCAAAAGCAAGTGTCAACTTCAGGTTGGAATCTCGTACTGTTCCAATGATGTTTTCCATCTACAAATGAAAATAAAATAACAAGATGTAGGTGTATTAACTTAAAATTTTTCATTTTAAGAATTGATTTTTTTATGACATTGTATGGGCATAAAATGAAGATTCTGTTTACAGCTTTGATTAAAGTTCATTAAAAAGAAGAGTTGGTAAGAATATATGTTCTAAATTAAATGCAGATAATGTTATCTTATTTTTATGAAACAAGGAAAACATCTGTAGACAAATGGGATTATCCTCTAATGATTAAAAACTATTACAAACGATATGATATTGCCTATAATATTTGTGTCTCCGTTCATCTCTTGTTATATAAAAGTTCTAGTCCTCCTTTTGGCTTAGTGTCAGAAATTTAGAAAATATATATAAAAATGACAAAAGAATCAGTCATATCCCCCTAGATGTACATAAATTTTTCCAACTTTCATTTTCTTAGTAAACTTTGTGAGCTTGAACAAGTCACATGACCTGTCTGAGCTTTAGTATCTTTATCTGTATATTAGAAATAATAATAGCAGTCTTACATATGTATTTAATTTTTGTCAAGGCTGTGTAATAACAGATCCTCTTAGCCTAATATAAATATTCTGTAATAGGTATGAATATGAATGTTTTAAGGACATTCATGGCTATTCAAAATTGATTTTATACAGAAGCATATAAACATATCAGTATCTCCATGTTACTTTACTCTTAAAAACTCTGAATATCAGTAGATATTAAACTGGGATATTTTTGCTTACTCTGTATTTGTTTGATCAATAATGTAGTTAAACACTTTTCATATTCACAGATTTTTTCTTTGGTAAATGACTTTTTCATATTAAGTGGATATAATAGCTTATTTCTTATTACTTGTGATAGTGTACGTGCATTCTGTCTCCATTATATAAATATCTTTATCAAGCTCTTTCCATACTTCATTTTACTTACATGTATTTTTAACTTTATGGACATGAAGTTTTAAATTATTCCCTTATATCTTATTGCTTAGAAAAGTTTCCTCAAAAACATACAATAATATTCATCTGTTAGTTGTTCAACTTGTTATAGTTTAATTTTTAAGTTTAAATAATTACTTTTAACTTCTTTTTATATAGAAATTATAGTGAAAAACCAGTTTATTTTTCCTAATAATTAATCAATTATACTAGAAACATTGGTTATATAATTCCTTATCTATTATAAATAGTAACTTTACTATATTAAAATTTTTTTCATCTTCTACTTTTTTTTATATTTTTAGGCAGATTTTATTTCCAGCCTCAATTTAGCTCACTAAATTGTAATATGTCTAAATGGTTTTTGAAACTCATATTCTATAAATACCTTTGAATATTCTATCACTTTTCATTCTACATGGAAAATACTCAATGCAAATACAAGTTGAATGACTGGCAACAAGACACTAATCATCATCATCTTCTTTTGCTTCTTCTTATTATTTTATAAAACTTATTCCTTGTAAAGAACTAAGTAGATTTGTTTAATGACAGATCTCAACTTGTCCTTAAAGCAGAGAATGACCTAAGGTGCAACACAGGAAGTTCTTTCTGGGCAACTCCATGAGGGGAGTAATGCAGAGAACAAGTAATCTGAAAAAATATGAGAATTTAAAAGAAGGAGAAATTTCAGTTATTTCTACAGATTTATCATCACATCGCAACAGTATTCAATAGTAGAGAAGAATGTGAAAATAAGTGCATGGATAGTTTTTATACACCTGAAATAGAAGTATGAAAAACTAACATTCAGATCTCATTTCTATTTTCTCTTCTATTGACCTCCTCCTCTCATTTAATTTTCTGGCTATGCATAAATCATTAAGTAGTTCAAAWTCTTCAATTAGAAAAACTTCAATTGGCTATTTCATTTTGGTAAAAATGCATAAGATCAAATTGCCATATAGAAATTATAGTGAAAAACCAGGCATTTTTTCCTAATGATTAATCAATTATACTAGAAACATTGGCTATATACTTCTTTACTTCAACTGTTTTTGTCCTTATTTTATTTTCAATAATCAAAAAGAAACTTAAAAAGCATGTTTATGTATAAACAAGCTGTTTTACACCAATAATCCATAAAATAGGAAGGTTAGCTTAATAATGAGTATATAAAAAGTACTGCACCAACTAAGTGATATTTTAATGACATCTACATCAGAAATGTTATGTTACTTATCAACTTTCACTGAGTTAAATGCAGTATCAGCAGTTTATTATTTCATAATACACTGTGGTCACCTGATATTTCCACATTATTTACTTTATGAACCTCTAAACAGGAATATGGAGATATATTAACATAAATAAACTTTACTTTAAAATTAGCATATGTAAGCTGTCTGCAAGTGTATACTATAAAGAAAGGTGCTTGTCTTGTAAATTATGTTAGCCATTCTCAAGAAAGTGCTTATTACCCATTTTCTTTTTGTTCAATAGGTCATTGCATAAAGTATCTTCAATTTACACTATCAGGAATTATTCACTGATGTTCTTGCTCTAAAAATTACTTCCATGGATTTTTTTTCAGCTTTATAACTTAAGTAGCTACATATAACTTGTGTATTTAAGAGTGCCTCATGGCAATGCCAATCATACCTAAAAGATAATGTATCATTTTTCAAAGAAAAGTGAAAGGATCCTATGGCAGGAGGTCTGGAGAGGCATTATAACATCCTGTCTTTGCATCAGGGAAGGCTAGCTATTTCTCATTCTTTCCACACCCACTCTCACATAAATCAATACAGTAAAAAGAAATATTTGTCTATTTGAATGGCAAAGACTTAAAATGCTCATGAGGACAATCACAAAAAAACACTTCATTTATTATTAGATGGTTTCTGTGGATAAATTATGAATTATCGGAATAAAAATACAAAATTTATTGTTGTTACTCAATTATTAAGCATAACATGAGTAAGACAGCCTACATAAATGTGAAAATACAATTTCTTGGATCAAATCACACATTTTCCTGTACTTAAAACTATTTCTGTAGTTCAAACTAAATTTCTTCTTGATCAAAACATCATAATACAACCAAAAATTTTTAGGAAAATTTTCAGACAATGAAAGCTTAAAATATGATAATAGATGTCATTTATGAGCACTTACAATGTGTCTGGCATTGTGTTTATCTCTTTACAAAGATTATCTCATTTAATCCTTTATATAAGGTAATATAGTTCTAACATAACATCTAATTAATTTGCACAACTCTGTATGATTCACATTAAAAGTCTCAGTGATTTTGAATATTAATACAATAGCCTTTCTGAATCCTGATTGAATAACAAAATTAAGACCTATAGTGGGCTGGGGATGTGGCTCAAGCAGTGCCACGCTTGCCTGGCATGCGCAGGGCACTGAGTTTGATCCTTAACACCACATAAAAATAAAAAAAAAATAAAGATGTGTCCACCAAAAACTGAAAAACAAATATTTTWAAAAAAGGCCTATAAAAATGTTTGGGTTACCATCTCAACTTTTCCAAGAATAGCTAGTACCATACTAGATGGGTAGGAGACAAGTTTATTTATTACAAAAAATGGATGCCTGAGGGCATTAAGGGTTAATTCTTGTTAAGACGGGCTGTACAAAATTAATAAGGATCATAATAAAAAAACTTCAATAGAGAACTTTTTATTCATTAATTTCTGTTAAACAAATATATTTTATAATGTACAGGTATTTTCATAATAAACAGCCTTTGCAATATGTCTATCCATCTAATAGTTAAATAAAAATTTACTCAAAATTATACATAAAAGAAAAACATCTATGTTGCTCAAAGTAGTGGTCTTTCTTTTTTTTTAGGGCAACAGGGGAATAGGCACATATGTAAACTGTTGAACCACTTACTTTAACTTAATAGAATTTTTTTTATATTTTAAATTTATTATACTCAAAAAACTTTTATAGAAAGATAGGATTCCATTTAAGTAGACACATTACTCTGTGCCTGAAATACATTCCAGTCAGAATATAATTCAGTGAGCCGATGACAACGCTGGCTCCAAAAGAAAGGAGGAGACCAGATTGGACAAGAATGAGCTAACAGATTGTGGAGCCCAATTCTGTCCTTTTGAGTGTGATATATTGTTTCAAGATGCTAAAAACCCATACTTTCTCAAAGCATATCTGTTATGCTGGTTTTCCCATTTTCACAGAATCCTCATTATCAGAACTCTGTACTCTTTTCAAAGCATGTCAGACTCAGACCATATGCCACTGAAAAATGTTTATCAATTGTTTTAAATATGTCACATCTGGTACAGATGTTAAATTAAAACATTTCCTTGTAATTATTAATTTCTGATAATATACTTCTGCATGATAAACCCCATAGACAGAAGCGAGAAATAACAATGAAAGATACACAAGACCATTCTATTGATCTACTAAAAGAAAAGAATTAAATACAATAAATTAAAAATAAGTTTCCAAACATTACCAATACTCCAAAATTATTTTCCTTTTTTGCCCCTTCTCAAACTCAAAGACAGCCACATTTCAAAATAGTTTACTATACTGTTAGTATATGAGCATATTTACATGTAATTAAATATAATAAATTTGGCTGGAGAAGTAGCACAGTGGACAGCACTTGTGAGGCACTGGGTTTGATCCTTATCATCACATACAAATAACATAAATAAAATAAAGGTATTACATTTATCTACAATTTAAAAATATTAAAAATGTAGATAAAGATAATTTGAAAAGGAATATTGCAGTTAATTTTCTAAAGTAGCATCATCATAAAATACTTTATTAACATAAATTTAATCTGTTAAAGATCACAAGCAAAATGATAAATGGAAGGTCAATCTCATCAAAGATTTTTCAACCAAAGTAACCTGTTTATAAGGTATTATTATTATCTCTGTACCATCAGTAATATTATAAATATGCCTTATCTGAGTATCCCTTATCTGAAATGCTTAGGACCAGAAGTATTTCCATTTCAGGAGTTTTGGGAATTTGGGATATTTCCA